TCTTTTCACACTATGGCCTAGCAAGATGTTTTCTGCTTTTCATAGGCAGAGGTTTCCTTTCTTTTCACACTATGGCCTAGCAAGATATGTTTTCTGCTTTTCATGGGCAGAGGTTACAGTCAGTGAAAACAATGTCAGAATGGAAACACATGACCTCGATTTCGGTGTCCACATATTTGTTGCCCTATAGTGTATTTCAAAGAACATGTGCTGAGAGAACTATATACACTGCTATTTCTGATCTCCTTCTAAAAAAACTAGAGTTGCCTGGCTGTCATATTGATCCTATAGCTGCAGAACAAGTATGTGGGCATCTGTAGTCACAACCTGTATGCATGCTGCAGGTCACTGACAAATCATCACAGCCAGCAACTTCACTTTCCACATACTTGTTCTGGTTCAGTGACTCAAAAGCATGGAAGCTGCTGGCCAGACAACTATCATTTTCAGTAGGATAGCAATGGCAGCCAAAATGTATCTGAGCACAGGATTCCTTTCAAACTTTGCAGGACACCATTTGAATCACAGCTGACCTCTAAGATAGGCTCTACAGGCCTGAGGTAAATCATTTCTAGCCCAACAAGTCTTGCATCCGTTGTTTGCTGCCTTCATAGTGTAAAACAGATGAAAAATACATTTGGGAAAGTAAAGTCCTCTTGAACTGTCTATGGCAAGTAGAGGGACCATGGAACTCAATTGAAGAGATGACACCAAGATGTTACTGAACATGGAATCTAAAAACCTGAGGCTGTGCAAGAGTTTCTGAACTTGTACTGTGTATTATGCTGGGCACATGCTTCAAATATTTTTCTGCACCGATATTACATTCCCAGTGGTCCTATACTTACAGTAACTTAACATTAAGCTATGTGAACAGTCATGGTGGATAGATTCTGAACTTATTAAAGCACAACTGGCCTCCAATGTAAACCCCCCCACCCACACCCATGCGCACACACACACACAAAAAAAAGCTTGCTTAGTATGTTTGATTTATCAATTATTTCTATGTCGATTTAAGCTGTCTTTTCATTTACATTCTGCGTACTAATGTATGTGGCGAGTATTGTACATTCAAGGCATGCCTCTGGCAATACCTGCCACAGTTGCCAGTGTGCTTATGTCAACTTTAATACCATCAACTGACCTAGGCCATAACTAATCATATGCAGCACCATGGCAACTGCAGATCTAAAAAAAAAAAAAAGAGGGGAAGATGGCATCATTCTTGATAAGATGGGAGGGTTTAGTTCCCCTTTAACTACTTGTCTAGGCTACCTTAGGTGCTGGTCATATAGCTTACACCCTAGGCACATGGGCATGCATATTCATTATAGGAAAGAATTAGCAAGCCCAAACTCTGATCTGCTCTTTTAACAGAAATCAAATGGCTAACGCCTTGTAGGAATATACCTCTACCCAATCAAAAGCTGTCTAGCCCGTACTGTCATCCCTGCAAGGAGAGGATAGAAAGTTGCAGGGATTTCAAATACCAAGATCTGTGAAGCGGCTTTTCGTTGTGTGATATCATGGGATCCAGAAAGGGAGGTTTCCCGCACTGCTCCTGTGTTAGCAGTGGATAAACGGTCACAAAGTATCGGATTCGGGTATCTAGAGCATTTTCACGAGTATTCATAAACATACTCAGTATTGGTGCCGATACCGGTATCAGTGCATCCCTATCTGATTGCTTTAACCGTGTGGCCAGCACGGTTAGGAACCTGGAGCATTTTCTCCAAAGTTTTTCAGATTTTCTATTTTTCCCCATCTATCCATTGCTTCCTGACATCAAGCACGACCTTAGTCTACTTGCAGGGTCCATGCACAAAAAATGCTGCTTATACAGGCTTTAGGCATTTTGTTTTTTTTTTTTCTTCAGTCTGTATAAGTAGCTCTATGTTACCCCGTTTGTCCAGTGTACATTAAGGTGTTTACAGGCATGTTTGCGGTTCAGGCAGAAAAAAAGCAATAAGAATCACGTTTTGAGAGGCTTTTGGGCAGGGGAAAAAAAAAGGCTTAACGTGCATAAACAAGGCATTTTCAAGTGTACATGGAGTATAGTGAAAAATGAGCACAGGGAATGTTTTGGAAAACCACTTCCGCAAATGCCTATAAAACTGCTCAAAATCTTGTGTAATACAAACCACTATGAGCATTTATGCTGCTTTTTTCCAGAGGTTTGGGATTTTTTTTTCAGCTGCCTACTGTTCGTGGACCCTAAAACATGCTTGCCTGTAAAACTAGTAAAGTATGCTTACTTTTAAAATGACAGTGTCTACAACTTCAGTCCATGTATAATGGGGTCTAAACATACACAGACGAAGCCACAGAGAATGCAGAGTGTCAAAAGAAATTTAAAAAAAAAACCTAACCAATTTCTGATATACAAGACAAGGGGGGAGGCATCAAATAATTTACATTACAATAAAGTCATACTGGCAAATAGTTAACTCCAATTAAGATCATCCAAAGTGATTTTACACAAAGTTGTTGAAGCTTTAATTTACTGAAAATGGAATCTTACACAGACCAGCCCAACAGTAGTTACCATAGGTTAGCCATTGTTTTTAAACATTCAATGAGAACTGAACAAAAACGTAATGAAACTATGATATATATGTAGCAATTGTACATACAAATGGGGATGCGAACCTCCATTTTGCCAAAGACCCTCCATCCTGTATAATTTCTCACTCCAAATCAGCTCCCCCCTCCCTCTCTTGTTGAGCGACACGTGGTCCCTGTGTGCTGGGTTCAGGAGTTCACAAGGACATCAGGCACAGTTGGATACACTTCATGGTTGTAATCCCAAATTAGCTGGTGCCCGATTCTCTGTTAGCTTCTTGCTTGGAGATGAACGTAAAGCTATAAACCAGTCTTTCACTGGACATGAAAGACATTCCAGAATAGCCGTAAAACATACATCCCATTTAGAAGAAAAAACCAAAAAACTTTTCATAACTTTAAATAGGGAATACATGCAATCTAACTAAGCATATATTCGGATAGCTCAGTTTAATGCAAGTCGCCTGATATCTTACACCCCTAAAGTCTACAGTAGAGTAGAAAGCCATATAGTTCTAGCTGAAATACTAAGATATGGCATATTTGATGTCTGGACATTCAGGATATCATTCTGCATATTAATCTACTTGTGGCTAGGTGGCTACATGTACCTAGGGAAGGTTAATGACCATGATATAAACAGAGAGGGATTTGGTCATAGCCTGAGTTCCCCACCTAAAACACCCCTCCCCAAATGAGGCGAGTGGTTCTCTGCTTTAAGGAGACACCCTGCTGGGTTCCTAGAAAAAGCCTGTTATGCTTGGAGCAGTAAGATGAAGAATTCTCCCTTTTTAACATCAGGAACCAACCTTGGGAGAAAAGGCACCCTTTTGCTCTGACACTTGAACGCTGCTTAAACCAAGGCTGACGGCAAGTATTCTACCTCTCTAAAATTCTGTTACCGCTCTGTTGTGGTATTGCTCTCTGTGTATATATATATATATGCTACATCTTTTTCTGTAAATATTTTTATTGCACCATTTTGACCTTTTTAGTAATAAATCCTATTATCTAAAAAGTGTTGAACGGTTTCTAAAGCGCTTTAATGCAAACTAAGAATCCCTGTCTCTGAAGAGCGCTACTGTGCGTTTTAAACCTCTATATACATCTGCCTGCAGTGACAGTATGTATACAGACGAATATTCAAACATCATAGTGTTACTGCTGAGATTGGCGAGTTTCCGCTTTCTCTGTACAAAAAGGCGGTGGTGGCAGTGTGAAGGGTTAATTGTGTAATTAACCTGACCCAGTGACAATCGCTCTCAGGCTGCAGTACATAGATTGTGGTCCATTAGCTGGAAAATCTTTGTGCAGGGTGCAGCTGAGTGTGGTAATGTTACGTAGGTGACAGCACGGTTTTAGATTGGCTAGTCCTGTGGTCACGAGTTAATGAGAAGGGCTGGGGGTCTGATGACCGTCACAATATAGACATGCTGCACCTTTAATAAAAGCAAAAGTCTAGTGTTTGCAGCAGAGTGGCCCAAGAATCCTCAGGTCAGTTCTTTGCCTTGTGACCCTATCTACATAGTGATATAACTATCCTAGTGGGAGTCTGTCTACATACCTTGCATTATGGATAAGCAGATTTTTTTTTTTACCTGAGGGTTGTGGATTTCCAATTTCAAAAACAACAAAGCACACCACATTTTTATATGAACGGTTACCAGGGTTTTAAAAAGAATGACACTCTTGAGCCACCTTCAGCAGGGACACCATTTAATTGCTGGTCATCTCACTCCTATTCAATTACAATTCTCATAGCTTAGGTCACTAAACTTTTTTTTTTTTTTTTTTACTGTCTCAAATCAGACAAGAAAAATACTGTCAGAATAGAACATGTGAAAATTAACACTTACAGTCTAAAAAAAATTCTTTGTAACAAAAAAAAAAAGAAAAGAAAAACAAAAATAAAATAACCGGTTTTCTTTCTGAAACATGATCATGTGAAAAAAACACAGAAAGGGAAAAGGGGTGGTACAATAGGTCTGTTTAACAACAGCCATATTTTTTTTCTTTTTAAACACAATACTGTGTGCTCAGTGCAAATGGAACATCCATACTTGCACACGCATACAGGATGGATATCAATAAGGAAATATATTAGATGGATAACATATCATCGCAATGAACAGAGCACAGGAAAAAAGCCAAAAGTAAATAATTTACATATTAGGCAACTTTTAATGCTGTAGTGCACTTATATATATATTTATATAAAATAAAAAAAAAGTCCAACTCTCCCTCCCATTCCAGCAGCTTGTTCCGTTTTCTTGTCATATTTTATAATTTCAGGAGATGCAGGAATTATTGCCTAAATAATTCTATACATTAAACCAGTGTTCTCAGGGGAAAAAAACACCTCAAATTGCTACGTATTTTACAATGATTGTTCACCTTCCTGCCTAGTTGTGTTTTTTTTTTTTTTTTTTTTTTTTTTACAGTTTTAACTCATTGGCAATTTTGGAAGCAATGTTTTTGAAAGCTATGGAGGTTCCAGATATCCGCTTGAAGCGGACACCATTCAGAGACAGTCTTGGCAACTTGCACACTTCCATCTCCCACTGGACGAGATTTTCGGCATGGCCGTCCCCATGGACGCAGAAAAGCAAGAAGCGCTCTCTCTGCTCGTAGTCGCAGTTGTTGGCATCTAGAACCTTGCGGATCTCACGCATCATGTCGTTGGGATCCATGGAACTGGTGGTTTTCATGCTCCACGTAAAACGTAGAGATCGTGGCTTGGATTCTTTGTTCTCGTCTTTCTGGTCCCCTGACACGTTACGACTAGAAGAAAAAAAAAAAAAAGTGGCGCTGTTTGTCATCTATCATGTCAAGGTGAAATGTTAGGATAGGATATTGTGATGAGCTGCACACAATGTGTTTGAAACTTTACTTCAGCTCTTTATTTAACAATCTGTCATTTCTGAAATATCTTTTTCTTGACTTATTAAATTTAAAAACGTTTCCAACAGACCTGAAAAGTGTACATAAAGCCAAAATATATTTCTTTTTTGGATAGAGTGAATGATTTTTGCAATCTGCATTCCATTGTTATTTCCCATCACATAATATTTATTATTTATTTATTTATTTATCGAGTTTTATATAGCGCCAAAGGGTTTGCTCAGCGCTGTACAATAGAGGGGGGACAATACATGAAACAGTACAGTAACATCAAACAGCACACAAGGGGTAAGAGGGCCCTACTCTTTCGAGCATATCCCAGACACATAGGAGTGAAAGTGCTTAAAAGTGAGAAGTTGACACTACAGCAGGTGTCCCCAATGGAAAATTTTCCCGCACTTGCTATTTCAGTGAAAAATTTTAAATTGTAGATATCCCTCCACTCAGTGATTACAGATAGCAGTAAAAACTTGGAGAGGTTAATTTTCAACCCTTCTGCAATCCATCTAAAAAAAAAAAGTTTTGGCTTCATATATACTTCAATGTCTAAGAAACCCTTGGCCTGACTCTCTGACATCCTCTGCATATACCTTGGATCTATATTAGCCTTTGTTCTAATAATCGCCCACAAAAAAAAAAAAACACATTTTATCTCCTCTGAGATAAGAAACTTACAGTGGTTGTAAAGGTATTTTTTTTTTTTTTTTTTTACCTTAAAGCAGTAGTAAACTATCATATAATTAGAAAAAAAAAAAAAAACCACGTGGGCCCCTGGGTAGTTTAAGCCATAATGTGCTAGTATGCACCACATACTAGCACATTATGGCAGACTTACCTTAAAAACAAAGCCCTCCAGTGGAGCACTGTCACCGCTGACAGGGCTTCCATCTTCATCCAGTTTTCCATCTGGGTTCATGGGCTCTGGCTGTTTGAATGGCCGAGCCACAATGACATCACTCCTGTCACAGCCCTGACAAAGAGCTCTAAGGGGACGGGCATGCCTTTGCTTCAGAGCAAAGCACGCTGGGGACGTTACCAGCTGCTTCTAATGTGAATATCTTCTAAACCCTTCAAGTTTAGGAAATATTCATTGTACCTACAGATGAGCCTTACTATAGGCTAACCTGTAGGTACAAGTTCACAAGTGGAGTTTACTACTAATTTAATGTATTCTCTGCATTAAGGTAGAAAAAACAAAACAAAAAACAAAACACCTCTACAATTTACTCCCCACCCCGTCGAGGCGGTTTTCTATTTTTACCAAGTAGACCGTAAGACTAAAATGTAATTTAGAGCAGTAAGTCAAGTACTTGCAACCCTTCCGCATGCTACAAGGACTAGGTGACTGCTTTAAATAATGGCTATCTTGATGATCTGGCAGCCTCCTGTCCGCATCTTTGAGACTATATGCAGACAGTGGATGTCAAGATGTACAACTGTGCATAAACATGGCTTACCATCCAGATAGATAATAAATTATTAGGAACTTGTTGCTGGACATTTTTTTTTAGCCGAACCCTGCCCAACTCTGGTGAAAGTAATGGCAAAGGCCCAATAAAAACCTCCCCTGGATTGCTTTAGAACTTCGGCTTCTTCTTCTAATTTTTTACAGTGATACATGTATGGGTCATTCTGGACAAATGTAAGAAGAGGTCAGACTGAGCAATTCCTTTATTAGCATACGAAAGAGCTAAGGCAACAGAGGCACACTTTTACATGGACAGACCCTCAGCTGAAGGTCCAGCCAACATATGGTGTAGCAAAAGAAACGACTTTGCAAAAATGCATGAGAAAAATGGTAATGCTTTTATCAAAATGATAGAGAATCAAGATATTTCAAACATGACAGATAAACTAAAGTGTTACAATCATCTGTTATCATTTTCCCATTTATCTGGACACAATCAAATATACCAGACTGACAACAGAAACAGATAATGAAAGTCCCACTTCACCCAACTATAGGCTGAGCTAAGTTTAGGTAAAGAGACTGCTGAGTACCACTCACTAAGAATGCAAAAAGGTCCTAGAATAGTTTTGGACATTAAAGTTTTCTGACAAGACCACTGTGCTGGTAGTTCTTCTGGGTTATTAGATCTAAAGAAAACCTGTGGGTATAGAAATGTGTGACCTGCAACTGGTGACCTGGCTTTAATGGCTCAAGCGTTTGTCATCCTTATTCTTGCATCTAAAGTGAGTCACTGAATCAAATGAGAAAAAAGCTGACAACACCATGAGACCTTACATAGGATAAGCTGAATTGTTCCAGGCAAGCAACACAAGGCCCTGTCTGGGGCCTTCTCCTCTGTTCCAGGGAGGGTGGGGGGGCCTTGTGTTGCTTGCCAGAATAAATCTTCACTTGTATAGGATTTCACATTGTGCCCCTCGGATTCACTGATAGTTTGGGACAAAAACAAACCCCTTTCCTGCCTTGGTACCTGGCTATTTAAGGGAGCGAACCAGTACAAAGGAATTTGGAACAGTGGACAATTGTGGTTTTTTTTCCACTTACGAGGTAGGAGTTCTGACTTTACTGGCTGCCTGTATGTTCTCGGTTGCCAAGTAGTGAAGTAAAGACAAGAATGATCCCATTAGACATGATAATTTTAAAGGATAGGTACTCCTCTAAGTTAAAATTGCAGAAAAAAAAAATGTGTATTTATTCCTTTCCTATACAACTGCACTGGAACATGTTACACTTTAAAGAAAAAGTTCACCTTTGAAAAATGTTACATCTGTATTTAAAAAGACTTCAGGACAAAGAGTGCCTGCAAAAAGGACTACTCCCCATAATCAATTTAGTGCATGCTAAAGACTGAGGTTAAATGTTGCAGCCAGGAATTTGCTCCTTTAGATGGTTGTCCTCAATGGTGAGCTAATGCCATGGTAGCAGAATTGCCACAATGGCAAGGTAGTTATTTATGCCAGATAAAATAATCTTCTCCAGGTCAGTTACTCAGCAAGTAGTGAAGCAAAGATGAGAGCCCAAAGATGGCATTTTTCTGAAGTCAGCAATGGTAACACCCATATTTCAATATTATTTAAATTTAAACCTATTGGGATCATTGAAAAAAAAATGTGAAGGAGCTGAATCTGTGTTTATATGAGGTAGTGCTTAAACCTCTTGTGAAAGTTTATGTTGTATTATTCTTTTCATAAATTACTTTAAAGCTGAACATCAGGCAAACTACTAAATGCATATATGAAATACATACAAAGGAAGCCATTTTACCTGTCAAATGATTTGTATTTCTGCCTCTCAGGTCCTGAGATTTACACAGCTCTGCCACACAGCACAGCCAGATCTGGCAGGTCAGGAAACCTGATTTTGCCCTACTGCAGATAACCAACACTTTACAGGTCTTGTCCCTTCCCCAGTATATGATCGGACAGCAAAAGGAACACACTGACCATCCTTTTTAGTGATGTTTCCTCCTTAGCAGGATTCTTACTTTCGCAAGTCTGCTTTCTGCTGTACAATGACCACAGAAGGCTGATATCAAGTCACAGTCAGGTATTTGTTTCTTTCATTAAAAAAAGACACAATATTGTATGAATCTTGAGCTACATTAAAAGGCTCCTTTTTATCTGCCTGAAGCTCAGCTTTAAACCAGTAGCTGTAATTTCTAATTAAACATTCAATAATGATCCTGTACCTTTTTTTGCCAAATGTACATATTTTTGCTTTTTAAAGGATAGTGATGGTTTCTTTGATAAAGTTTCAGTGGCTGAAAGAGCAAAACTGTGTTGCCCATAGCTACCCAATACCTCCTTTTTTAAAAATCGAATTAAAATGAACAGATTCTGATCAATATGGGAACATAGTTAAACCAGTAGTACAAATCTTAAAAGTGACTTCCTATGAATCAACTAGTATTCCACTAAAGAGGAGGATAGGTCAATGAAAGATGCTGCTTTTTAATTTTTTTTAGTCCGCTTAGTAGATATTAATATAATTAACTGCAAATTTTACCGGATAATGCTGCATGAAAAAAAATCACTAGTGTGCTCAAGGACAAACAACGATTCGAGAGTATTTAGTCACCCTGGATACATTATCTGCAGCCTTCACCATGATTTCCTGTTCATGTGCCTGATGGAGCTGGCGCGGGGCGAGTGAATATCTTCCTCACCCTTCTTTTTCTAGTCTGTTCTTTCCTTATTCTTCCTTCCTCTCTCTCAGGGGTCTCCAAACTTTCTAACCAAAGGGCCAGTTTACTGTACTCCAGATTTTAGGAGGACCGGACTGTGACCAGGAGCAGTAGAAAACGTCAGTGGCAAAAAATCCCATGGTTTGGTGTCAGAAGGAGGAATTGTGCCCCAATCATTGATGTCATTGGACCCCAAAATTGGTGTCATTGGGAGGAATTGTGCCCCATTGTTGGTGTTGTTGGAAAGAGTTGTGCTCCCCTTCATTGGTTTAGTTGGGGGAAATTATGCCCAATCGTAGGTATCAGTGGATGAAATAGTGCCCCAAGGGTCACATAAAAGCAAGAAAAGGGCCAAATATGGCCCCCGGGCCGCAGTTTGGAGACCATTGCTCTACCTCTTTGAAAACGCCCATTTCATATCTCAGTTCTCCTCAAATGAGGAGGAGGCTGCCGTTTCTGTCCCCTCATATGTGATGGTGGTCATTCTGGAAGGAACTCAGGGGTTATGGTAACAATGTGTTGCTTGTAAGCTACTGAACTACCTATCCATCCTGTTGATAGCCCTTCCAAGATTCTCTTCCTGTCCCTCCCTCCCTCACTCAACTCTCTACAAGCTCTTATACGGAAGCTATTACATGTACAGAGCCTTGAAAAATTATTCATACCCCTTGAAATTATCCACATCTTGTTACAACCAAAAATGTAAATGTATTTTATGTGTCAGACCAACACAAAGGCACATAATTGTGACATGGAAGGAAAGTGATAAATGGTTTTCAAAAAATGTTTACAAATAAATATGTGAAAAGTGTCGTGTGAATCTGTTTACAGACCCTCCCAGAGTCAATACTTTGTAGGATCTTCTTTTGCTGCAATTACAGCTGCAAGTCTTTTTGGGGATGTCTCTACCAGCTTTGCACATCTAGAGAATGAAATCTCCCATTTTTCTTCGCAGAATCGCTCAAGCTCTGTCAGATTGGATGGACAGCATCTGTGAACAGCAATTTCACAGAGTCTTGCCACACATTCTCAATTGGATTTAGGTCTGGACTTTGACTGGGCCATTCTAACACATGAATATGCTTTGATGTAAACCATTCCATTGTAGCTCGGGCTGGATGTTTCGGGTCGTTGTCCTGCTAAAAAGCTGAACCTCCGCCCCAGTCTCAAGTCTTTTGCAAACCCTAACAGGTTTTCTTCTAAGATTGCCCTGTATTTGGCTCTATCCATCTTCCCATCAACTCTGACAAGTTTCCCTGTCCCTGCTGAATGAAAGCATCCCTACAACATGATGCTGCCACCACCATGTTTCACAGTGGGGATGGTGTGTTCAGGGCGATGTGCAGTGTCAGTCTTCCGCCACACATAGCGTTTAGCTTTTAGGCCAAAAAGTTACATTTTGGTCTCATCTGACCAGAGCAAATTCTTCCACGTTTGCCGAGTCCCCTCACATGACTTCTCGCAAACTGCAAATGGGACTTCTTATGGCTCTCAACAATGGCTTTCTTCTTGCTGCTGTTCCATAAAGGCCAGATTTGTGGAGTGCATGACTAAAAGTTGTCCTGTGAAGGAGATAAGCAGCTCAGGTGGGAGAATCTGTCCAGAGTTACCATGGGCCTCTTGGCTGCTTCTCTGATTAATACTCTCCTTGCCCAGCCTGTCAGCTTAAGTGGGCGGCCATGTCTTGGTAGGTTTGCAGTTATGCCATACTCCATTTTTGGATGATGCATTGAACAGTGCTCCATAAGATGCTCGAAGCTTGGGATTTTTTTTTTTTAATAACCTAACCCTGCTTTAAACTTCTCCACAACTTTATCCCCAACCTTTGTGGTGTGTTCCTTGGCCTTCATGATCCTGTTTGTTTACTAATGTTCTCTAAAAAACCTGTGAGAGCTTCACAGAACAGCTGTATTAATACTGAGATTAAATTACACACAGGTGGACTCTACTAATTAGGTGACTTCTGAAGGTAATTGGTTCCACTAGATTTTAGTTGGGGGTATCAGAGTAAAGGGGGCTGAATACAAATGCATGCTACACTTTTCAGATATATTTTTGTAAAAAAAAAAGTTTGAAAACCGTATATCATTTTTTCTTCTACTTCACAATTATGTGCCACTTTGTGTTGGTCTATCACATAAAATCCCAATAAAATACATTTACATTTTTGGTTGTATCATGACAAAATGTGGACAATTTCAAGGGGTATGAATACTTTTTCAAAGCACTGTAGTCCATCTGGTGACCTGCCTGGGAGTTACTCTTTCTTTGAACTTGTCTGAATATATATATGGTCCCCAGGACTCATGGTGTGATTATAATTATGTACCTCTACTCTTTTCGGCATACTGGTTTCAGCCTTTTTGGCTTCGTTTTTGTCTATTCTTTCATATTCTTTTTTTTACTTGAAAAATAAATAAAAACCCCTGTATCGTGCAAGTTACTTTATTTTTTTATGCCTCTTTACCACGTTCAATGAAATCTTTTGGTACAAGAAAAATAAATAAAAACCCATTGAAAGGAGATTCTGAAATGCACGCTACTAAGCGAACATCTCACGGCAATCGAGTACACCTTAAACAGTTTCCAACATACATTTTTTGGGAGCCCAAGTACAGTGTCAACCTACCTTACCCTCTTCCTTCATAGCATGTTTTACCAAAATCACAACAGAATGTGGCTCTTTAACAATAAATTTTCATGCACATTGAAGCAAAATGAAAATGCTGTATAGACAAAAAAAACTTCAGGAAATTCAAGCTTTTTAAAAATATATAAAGCTGCATGCATAAACATTCTCATGGAAGGGTTAACTGGATGCTTGTGGGTGAAGGTTAGAGAGAGAAATAAATATGATTGCTCTCACCTTGAGCCCTCATACCTCCCGTTTCTCTCAGTTTCAGATGGGAGCCTCATTGAAAACATTGTGAAAAAGCAAAGACAAGCAGAAACAAATCTTACACTGGTGTACTAGGACTCAAAACGATAAGTGATTAGATCAACAAAACATTTTTTTTTAACTTTACTTTCATTGGAATGCTTCAAATACCGGGATACTACATAATTTCATTTATTACCTTTTAGCTAAAAGACTATTGCATTAAAGTGCCATTCAACTTACAAATTTGACCCTAAAAGAATACAGATGAAGAAATATACTTCCATTTTTTGTGGCAAAGTTGCCAATATTGTAAAACCACAACGTGGACCAACCATTTGACTAACTTCGTAGGAGTAAAATTACAGTGATTTTAGGAATCCGTTACCATGAAATCATTGAAAAAAAAAATTCTAAAAGTCCATTCGAGCATAATGTTTAAAAAATAAAAAAAAACACAAAACAAAAATGGATAAAAAAACAAAAAAACAGTACTAGGTCTTTTTTATAAATGTTTCACACAACTTTACCCCAAGAGTGGTACATTTTTCTAATTGAATTTCTCTGGAAAAATGTGAGCCCATGGTGAAAGATATGCCACTCTTGTTTGAAAACATTTATAAACTGACTCCCTATGTGCATGTGATGATCAATGCTTCAGCAAATGGTTTCCTGGAGTCATATATAAAGTATAGGGGACAATTGCATACAATGTCTAATGTGAACAAAATATTGAAACCTTTATAAAACTCATACAGGTTTTCAAAATTGTATGTTTTTGCTAATTTTTTTTCCATACAAAATAGTATGCAATTATGCCCCATAAAGACATTATAAGCCTTTACTGCAAACGGTAGCTTTGAAAACTGTACAAGATTTAGAAATGTGTCTTCTATTCTGCTCCAATGCTTGTGAACCTTTATTGACTAAGCAAAAAACCTAAAAAAAATTTGGTAAATTTCGCAAATTAAAATAGTGGAACATCTTTGAAACATTGCTAGGCATTTCTACACTAAACATATAATGACTAAAATGGAGTGTGAGGGCACGGGCTTTTATAAATTTTGACAAAGCAACTCAAATTTCATTAATTGCCAAGTACTACAAATCTTTGGCTGCCAGCATGCGGAGTGTATTAGTAATCATGACACATGAATTTTATGATGCGCAAGACTTCATGGTGCCACAGTGCACAAAACATGCACAGCTGATTAAGAAGTTCATTATCCAGTGAACAGTAAGAAGGAAGGGCCCTACCAAATTTAGTTATCAGCAGAAAAGTTTAGTAATCAGAAAACTCAGAACCAGTAAGACAAGTTACACAGGAAAAACAAGAATGCATAGGCAACTTAAATCCTACCTTTTTATAAATCTGAATGACATGTTTCTAAAAAATAAAAAATTAAAGTAGAAAAATTAAAATGGGCAAACTTACAAAGGAAAGTGAAAAGCAGTCACACCTAAAACATGGAAATGCAACAAACACCCAGAAAAACACCTCAGCGATGCCAGTTTTTGGTCCAGACAGCAACTTTTTTATATCTTTTTTTTATGTAAATGGCCTGGATCTGATCGACAGAATGTTTTTTCTTTTTCTTGACTCCATATTGTCACAAATTAAAGAAACAGCCTATGCAGTTTACAGATGTTTTTACAAAGAATATCCAATTTCAGAAATTAGGCATTACGTTTTTGTCAATGTTTTGTACCAACAGGTTTGTGTAAATCCACTCTTTCATGAGATGTTTAGTTCTAGCCTCAAAAAATAAATCGAAGCAATAATGAAAAGTCTTGACCTTTGGAGTGGGGTAATAGGATTCAGTCTTTTGTTGCATGAAAGAACATACACTACATACTGAAGCCAGTCTTAAGTGCATTGTTTAAAGCAGTCTCTCTCAACCTTTTCAACACAGAGGAACCCTTGAAATAGCTTTCCGGTCTCAGGGAACCCCTGCTAAAAATGACTATATCTACAACTCCTGATACATTAGTGTGATGGTCAGTGGGAAGAATGCTCCTTACACATGTGATCATTGGGAAGAATTACTCTAAGATAGCTAAAAAGATCAATGGTGTTCGTGGAAACTTATCGGAGAGACAGAAATTGCTCATTGCTGAAGGAACCCCCTAGCAACCTCTGGAGGAACCCTAGGGTTCCATGGAACCCTGGTTTAAAGTAATAAAAGTGTCTAAAACCTGGTACACACATTTTTTGTTTAATTTTTTTTCACTCAACCCAGCAGACTTTTGTGTTCTGACAGAGCGACTTCTCCCCACCCCCCACCAGAACACACTGATCAGCGCTCACAGGCACTGACGGCAAGTGCTGATCGGATGCTGGATTTTTCCAGCATGCCCTTTCGACAGTGGCCGGTGAGATGGGCTTCTGTTGGACAGGCAGTAGTACACGCGAGCCAAAAGTCATCTGGTTCCTGCTGAACCGGCTGATCTCGGCTGTTTTTTGGCCCATGTGTACCCTGTATAAGAGCCGAGCTCCTCTAAGCTGAAACACAACAGCCTCTGGGTCCTACCAATGGATTTGGAAGAGGAGGCACTATTCTGTCTGACAGAATCCATGTTTTTCCAGATTTTTACAGTAGTATGATGGTTTTCATGTTGCAAAACTGAATTAAAACAAAAACAAAGATCTACATGAAATGCGTTCTTCTGTCCCTAACCTTGGATCATTAAAGTGGAGGCAAAATAAAAGTCTTTAAATTGTAGTTGCAGTTTAGGCTTTGAACATATTCAAGTAAAAATTGGGCACTCAATGTATATTCCCATCTCCAGGCTCTCCATGATGTCTAGGGTAGAAATGTGTATTGTGCCAAACGCTTCATGCATAAAAACCATGCAAATGTCTAGATTCATATTGCACTGTGCCAAACAAAATTAACAAAACTGTATTATAAGCAATGAGGAGAATGGCAAATGCTTGTTACAGAACTATTCTACTTTCCTTTTTCGTTTGATTTTAGAAACAGAGGTAAAATGTCTTAATATTACCAACCATTATTAATGCCTGCACTACCACTTTTCAAATTTCCTTTGTGATCATAGATTCCATAAAAAAAAAAAATTCAGAAATGTTTGCAGCATACATAGTCAAACCCATCCCCTGCAAACACACTGCCAACCGTGGTACCCAGGAAAGCCAAAAGAACGCCTGAAATTCACTGGCCATAGAAACTACTGCTTCAACATCAAACAGCAGCTGGTCATATAATCAAAAGCCTAGAACAGAGGATGGGATCTCTGCTGAATGGTAGGATTAGCCAACCAGGACTCTGATCATCTTCTGCAAGGATCATTTGACCAGCCGCTCAGTGAAGCATTTCATATGTTTTGTTATCCCTCGTGACAACGGTGCGTTTAATGGTCTGCCCTAAACGCTTTTCACAGGATACCAAGCCAGCTGGGAAATTGTCTTATAAGACACAGAATGAATTTTTGAAGCATGTACAAGCATAATGGGAAAATATTATAAATAGTATTTATAGCCAAAGCTTTGCATTTTGTTGTCTTGCTTTACAGTGTCATATTTATCAGAAATGTCAAGTTAAGATGGAGGTGGTCATATGAAAGCAGAATTCAAAATTCAGACTGAGTCCAATTTAGGAGTCAATGGATCATTTTCATGGCCTGAGATCAGATGTTTCCATTAAAGGCTTAAATTATGGGTTTAATAATTCTAGCCACTTAGGCTACCAGGGCCATGAGTTTAATATAGCCAAGCTTTGAAAAGAACCTCGAAGGGTTTCCAAAGATTGTAAAAAATAACCTTACTGCCTAGGTTCAAGGCTCTTGTGCAATGTACCTATGGTATTTATTTCTTAGTTTTGGATAGAGAAAAGGATTAGAAAACTTCCTGTCTTGTGAGGGGAAATCTCTCTAATAGCAATACAGAAACGGTAGAAATGCTAGGAGAATGCTATAACCTCTGCCAGCTTTTTATTACCATTTCTCTGTTGCAAATTTTCTTTCAGTTACTGTCTGGCATAACACTGTCCCCAGTACAGAGGAAGTTGAAGGCAAAAAACTCTCTCCAGAGAGCAGATCCTGACAGGCGTTCTGATCTTTCCAAATTCAATTCAAAACTTGGAAAGGAAAATATTTTTTAGAGGTACACTTAAAGGCACCATAAGCACAGTTTTCAATCATTGGTTTGGAAAAAATGGTATGGGAGTGGCTAAAGTTAAACGTTTGATCCAGCATGCACTCCCTGGATCACAGGAATGGTTAAAAGAACCTAACAGACAACACTTGCAGGCATTTTATGCTGCTGGCGCTGGAACGTAAAACTTTTTTTTTCTTTTTTTACAAACCAAAACCATCAAAGGCTTAAACTTTAATTTAAACAAGATAAAATGCAGCAGCCCTCCACTATAAAACGTTAAAAAAAATAAAAAAAATAAAAAGTTGTTTGGCATTGCACTGCAAGCAGCAGGGTCCTTTTACAAACACAGCAAACTCCAATAGGCGAATATATTGCTCAAAGAATAACAAGCAAAAAATGATATTACAATTCTCTTCCCAATAAGCTGCATAACTAAAGTACATTGTGAAATTAAACTTTTACACTTATATTTCTAAGGAAAAAAAAAAACTAAGTTATTTGACACAAACATGATATTTCTGAAAGTTTTATTAAACTTTGTTACAAGCAAGTCAGGATGGAAGTTATGTAAAGAATTAAATTTTTTTTGTTACAGAAAACTTAAATCAAGATGGTTAATTGAACTATAGCAGAAGGAAAGGAGGCTTCTACATGACAACTTCTGGACCTGCCAGTTGTCAGGATGCTCTGGAAAAAGGGTTCTTAGTGAGGATTAAATTATTAGGCCCTGAGAACATTGTTTCCTGTCAGAAGATTGAGGTCATCAGTATTGGACAATGTAACATTATTGCATTACTGTTAACAGATAGAAGTAACCTAGTATTGATAGAGACAAATTATAATTAAACACTGAAGGTTTAGAGAAAAAAAAAAAAAAATACAGGCTCACAGAATGTTTTAAGCAGACCTGTCACCT